TAACAATAGACCGTCATTCAGCCATAATAGTAAACCCGTTTTTTAAAGAAAACAAATATTAATACAATATTATAAGAGCCATTATTATTACTTACTAGATAATTACGTAACAATAAACTGTCGTTCAACCTTATTGGTAATATATTATTATTATTACTTATCAGATGGTCGCGTAATAATTTTTTGAAAAAAAAAATATTAATACAATGTTATTATATACAAGAATTATTAATAGTAATATATTATTATTTACCAGATGATCGAGTAACAATTAACTGCCATTTAACCATAACAATAAAACCCGTTTTTGAAAACACATATTAATACAATTTTTATATACAACAATAATTATTATTAGTAATATATTTTTATTTGCCAGATGGTCAAGTAACAATAGACCGTCATTCAGCCATAATAGTAAACCCGTTTTTTAAAGAAAACAAATATTAATAAGAAATATTATTATTACTTACTAGATAGTTGCGTAACAATAAACTGTCGTTCAACCTTATTAGTAATATATTATTATTACTTATCAGATGGTCGCGTAATAATTTTTTGAAAAAAATTAATACAATGTTATTATATCAATGAGAATTATTAGTAATATATTATTATTTACCAGATGGTCAAGTAACAATTAACTGTCATTTAGCCATAATAGTAAAACCCGTTTTTGAGAACACGTATTAATATAATGTTATTATATACAACGGGAATTATTATTAGTAATATATTATTACTTACCAGATGGTCGCGTAACAATAAACTGTCAACTATAATAATAAATATTAATACAATATTATATATATTATATACAACAAGAATTATAACTAGTAAATATATTATTATTTACCAGATAGTCGCGTAATGATATATATACAACAAGCGTTATAAAAAACTTGCCATAAAAAAAACATGACTTGTTTCTGTTGTTCACACACACACGTCCCATATAAAGTAATATCCTTTGTTTGATCAATTGAATCAACATAAATAAATACCTTCACCATGCACTCCATCTAAATATTTTTATTCTATATTCTTTTGACCCAAAGCAAGAAAGAATAATACCTTCTTCAACATACTTATATTGAACATGTAGAGTAATACATTCGCTTTTTGGTCAAATCGAATCACCTAAAATTTTTTGTTATATGATTATTAAAATTTCTGCATAACAAAAAATTTGAAAATAATATTTTCGCTGCTGTTGTCATGTCATGAATTTATCTTTGTTTAAAATCTGAATTTGTCGATCATTACATGATTATTTATAAGTTTGAAAGTGCTTTATGGTGTTATAAACAATCTTTGTATCAAATAAAGTAAAAATACAAACAACACATTGTTGATTATTTTAAATCAAGGAATGCATGAACAATTTGGAAATAGATCTCAAAGATAAGTTAAAGAGAAAAAACCCATTTCTACTTTTGCCATCCAGAAAAACAAATTAAATATTAATATTCATAGAGAAAAAATTTTTTTCTATTAAAATTATCAAATAAACTTTACTTTTAGATGTAAAACCAAGCATAGGTCATTGTTTAAACTTCTACCATCCAGCAATATATTACTAACGAATGAATTTATTCTTTAATATTAATATTACAACTTTATAAAAGATTATAAAGGTAAGTGTAGAGCAATGTTCATTTTCTATTATTAAAAAATTTGATCCAATTAATTTGAAAATTCATGAGGTTTATTTGAGACAATAACTTTTTTTATATATTAATTTACAAAACTATTTGTTTATATATTGCAATTTAAGAAAGACTTGACATGTAGATGTAAAATATGGCATTTTATCAGTTAAAAAATTGACATCTTCATTTATTATACTTCATTTAATAAAATATGCTGTCAAAATCAAAAGGACATATGACTCAATTGGAGCTGGGCATGACGCATTGACACAATACGTAATTCGTGATGCATGACGCAATTCGTGACGCAGGACGTAATCCGTGACGCAAAGACACAATTAATGATGCAAGATGCAATTAGTGACTTAATTTATTAAGGACTTATGCGCGCGCACATTAACATACAAGAAAATTTGGTTGTCTACATGTAACACTGACATGGTGTAAACTATTATGGTCCATCAAAGAATCTGTCCACTAAATTCGTTATATCAAAATTACTAATCATGAAGTAAATTTTAAAAATTCATTGTAACGTTGAAACAAGATTTATTGTAATGCACAAATGAAATTGGAGAATCAGATTATCAAGTAACACAATGCAGACCTTTCTCATAATGGAAGTGCATCCATATAATTACTCCATGATCAATACAGTCAAACCTCGTTTCAACGGATCTATGGGACTGACCACCTAAATCCGTTGAAACGAAAAATCCGTTGAAACGAGATAATTATTACTAAAATCCTACCAAAAAATCCGTTGTCCGTTGAAACGCGATTTAAATATAAATATAAAATCCGTTGAAACGAGAATTTTTTAATTATTAAAATCAAGGGGTAAAACCAAAAATCTGTTGAAACGAGGGTTCGACTGTAGATTTTGATAGTTATCATTCATCTCAGGGATGATAATAACAACGCAATCATTTTTGTAACACTTGAAAATTCCTTTTTTAAACAAAATTCTATATGAAAAATGACCGAAAAATGACCGAAAATCCCCTTTTTAAAGCTAAATACGTCGCACTAAATTAAATTCGTCATATTCTTTGTTTAAAAAATTTAAAACTAAAATAAATAATAGATAAAATAAATAAAAATAATAATATAAATAATATTACTCTGGATTTTCAGGGTTATTGATCTGTGAATTAAAGTCAAATTTGCATTCTGGTGACATCACCTCCGCTCCAGCATTGAACTCCTGCGAAACAGGAAAAGTAAAATCTCTCAATAAATCATCTAAGAGCAATGAAGTTTCTAATCATTCAGCTACAATTGCTCTACTCCTACCATTCATTTTTCGAAATTTCCATCTGTCATTTCCAGAAGGTTTCGAGGACGTAATTTTTGTAGTGATAAGTAGGATAATCCTACTGTATTGAATAACACTACAGTTTTCTTTGCCAAATTAACGAGTTTTCCGCTCTTGTTGTAGTTACAATGGCATTTTTGATGAATTTTCTTTCTTATGGTTGCAGGATATTCTTCAATAAGTCTTCCAAGAAGATAATAATACTCAAAAGTAGTATTATTTCTTGTAACCTTTAACTTACTCAGAATAGTTGTCAACTGTTTTTCTTCATCTCCATCGATTTTGGGTAATTCTTTTTCATCATCTCTTGGTACTCTGAACTCATCTAAATATTGGTGGGCTGTTGAGATGATGTTATTTCTAAATCCTGTTTTTCTCCATCCTTTCTGATTTTAACCCTTCTTCTGAAACAACTAACTCTTCTCCTCCTGGCATCTTCTTGACTAATCGTAATGATTGATTTTGGAGCGTTTGAGTGAGATAAATCCAACTTGTGTAATCAATCAGTTTTTTAAAATCTCTATTTTTATAACAAATTCAAAATCAAAAATAAAACTGTCATAAAAAATCTTCTTTCAAATCAATAGAGGCTCTCTATCTCAAGCTACAGTCAACCCCTCTAAGTGCACCACCCCCTGGGAATGAGTAAGAGTGTGCATTTAGGGGATAAAGGAGGATAAACCCTGAAGTGTTAAAAAATAATGTTGGAAAGTCAAAGGATGATAAGAGATTATTAGAACAGGTGTGGTAGATGGAACTTTATAGAACTATCTATAGCTGTCTATCTGATGAAATTCACTTGTCATCAAATGTTGGACACATATAAAACGGATGGACTCGTTGATTTTTATATTGCTGAGCTGAGCTGGGCAATTGAATTGCTCATTGATGGGTCGAGATGAAGGAACACCATGGACGTTTCCAGAATGATATGTGAGTGCATATGTGGATATATAATGTGTAATATGTGGGTTCTATTTAATTTTATATCCATATAATTTGCATATGTTTACCTTTTATTTAGGTGGAAGATATTCTTCAATCACATCTTATTATTTGACTTCTAGCAGAATAATAAGAGAGTGAATAAATCCTACACTAATACATGGCATGTAATGTTCAAATCCTAACTCTATGGTTTTTAATGTGTTGTCTGACACAAAATTCCAATTCAAAGGAAAATCAGTGGTCATCCTGAATCAAGTAGATATTTGAACATTAATGACAGAAAAAATAAGCGAAATTTTGAGAACAAAGAGAACATTGATTTAGGAAATGAATCACTACTATCATTAGAAGAGGATATTAATACTTAGCATTAAACCTAAAAAAATAATACTGATGGTGAGCAAAGAAGAACTTATTGAAATAGTAATGAAAATATTTTCATTGTTTATTTATTTAATTAACATCATTGATTTCTATTTATTTCTTATGAGAATGATTAATGGTTGGTATTTAAATATGCTAAAAATAGAGATTTAGAAAATAATTTAACAAAAAATTTTAAAAAATTACTTGGAAAAATAAGATTGAAAGATAGACTTTTAATAGATTCATAAATATTTAGTAAAATGGTTATATTTTTTAATTACAAATGATGAGAAAAATTACATTTATCATAATTTGCACAGTGGCAATATTTTTTCATACTCTCAATATAGGAGATTTGGGATTGTGTTGTGAAAAATGTCTCACATGTGTCCAAATAAAGTTAAAAGATAACAAATGGAGCATTATAAAACTGTTAAATTATAATTACAATACAATTGTAATAACAATGACTAAATTTTGATCCCTGAAATCCTTGGTAATACCAATGTTCACTTTGTCTGGTTTTGTTGCAGCATGCCCCATATAATCAGAAAATAATCATAAAAAACCAGGAATCTCAAAAAATTTGTATTAAAGCAATTAAATCATACATTTCTCAACCTTGGGTAATAACCAAATGAAATTATTCATTCTAATAATGATTTAATTTGAAATATTAATAACAATGTTACAATAAAGTCTAGGGAAAGTCAATTAATAAATTCCTTATTAGTTGAACATTCAGACAATTATCTGCCAGAAAATACTAAAAATATATTCATTAATGAGATGATAATAGATTATAATTTGCACTTTACCGTTATTATTATGGTACTCTTATTATTATTAAATTTGTTTAATAGATGAAAATCATGCAATTACACTTTCTACACTTCTTTCTCTTTCCCTTTTCCTCCTTTGTTCTCTTAAATAATTACGTTGAGCTACAAATAATTCTTTTTTCAAATAACGAGATACTTCCTTTAGATGCATAAAATTACAAAATCCACCTCTGGTACATTCAGCATTTTCATTTTGACGACAACATGCTTCACGAAAATCTGTCACTGGTGATAATTCAGCATAAATTGGTCGACCTTTTAATATTATTGTTTATCCATTTTAAGAATATTTAAATTAATAATAAAATTAGATGGTAGACAATTTGATGGACAATTTATAATAATAAATACCAGCATAAAATCTTTGATTCAAATTATCAACAGCTTTTTGTGCATCTTCTTCATATCTAAATCTAGCATAAACATTTCCAATTAAATGGTCACCAACATTATCACAAACATGCATTTCTTCTACTTCACCATATTTACACAGTTCAGTAAAAAAATCTTCATAGAAATCATCAAAATATGCCTGAATTTGTTCATCAGTCATATTATTACTATTAGTGTCATGAGCAGGGTTTTGATAAATATTTGAACAAAGAATTGTTTGTGAAAAAGTTGGTTTGACATGCTTTCTACTACATCGTTCACCATGTCGACAGGCTCCGATTTTAAAATAAAAGGAGCAATTAACCCTATACAAAGAAAGGTTACCACCATATAAAAAAGCCTACAAGTTAGTAATGCGCATACATCAAAGGGGATTTCCACCGTTTAATATTAATAACTAATAAATGATTCGAAACTTACTTGTCTTTTTCAGTACCATATATTGATGCTAAATATTCTGCCATTTATTCAAAAAAAAAGATTTTTTTTTATTTATTATATATTATTATATACAGCTAAATTTGTCACCTCGAACTTTCTCGAAACCACTAAGCGAAAATTCCTAAATGCTGATTAATTCTGATTGGGTAAATAATTTTCCTAATTTGTAAACAATTTAATTTTTGCATGTGTAATGTAATTATTAAACAATCAAATTTTACCAGTCAGTAAATTTTTTTTTTCTCCAAAATATAGAAAAAAAGGTTTAATTGTTAATTAATTAATTTTCTTTTTTTTTTAATTAGTGGAAGATAATGGAAATTCAAGTTGTTGACCGAGAACAAATTAATCCATCAATTGAAGAGAGTACAATAACACAACTTAATCCCCAATCAGATCAACAACAATCCGTGGAAATAGATTTAAACAAAGCTGATGGAAACTCAAATAATGCTGAACTACATGACATCTCAAAACAATTTACTAATGCTAATGCTAACAACCAGCATGAAACATTTAGTATGAGCATTACACAAAAGAAGAAAAGGAAGAAAAGAAAAAAGAAAAAACAAGTTGATAGTTTAACAGAGGACCTTTTATTTGTTGATCCTGGTGAAAAAGAACCTGACGATGATGATCGTTATAATTCGTAAGTTCGTGTGTGTAATAATAAATTTGAATAGATGACTTTCCCTTGTTCCTTTTTTTTCATCTTTTTAATTCTTAATGGATTAATTGTTTTCAATATATATATATAGCTCAATTTTAATATCACTTCGTATTGAAGTTGCAACACAGAGATTTAAAGATACTCGAAGAGTTTCTTCAACTCGTAACCAAGTACTTAGTTCTTATCTTAATTTTGGAGAGGTCAAGATAGGCCAAAATCCAGATACTGCTTCGAAAAAATCAGCAGATTTTATTCAAGAAGAATTAATAGTGGATTTTACATATGTAGTTAAGGCCTATTTATCTAGCTATATTATGGATCAATCAGGTTATTATACATTAGAACATTTTTATGAAGCACCTATAGTTGTATCATCATTTCTAAATTATTTGGTTAGACATGATGTGTGTCCAGAACATTCAGAGGATATATTAAGAGCAATTGAAATTGCAGATCGTGCTAAAGTAGAGTTGCCAAATTGTAAGAGTTTTATATTGACTGCTTTTAACAAATTTAATAAGGCATGTTCTATATTGTATGGTGGTGGTTTATACGGTGTCTTTGATAATCCTTGGAATTTAAAAAGTACTATGGAATGTATGAAAATCTCATTAAGTGAAGCCAAAGAAATCATCAATAGAACATTTGGAGAAAATGCTTTAGAAAATATTAAACATGTTGAAGCAGCCACAAAAAAAGCGCTTCAAGTGGAAATAATTAACATAGAAAAGTCGCCAGAAAAGTATTTAAAAGATGGTAAGAAAGAAGATTCAACGTCATCTACATCAAGTACCGACAAGGAACAAAGTGATACCAGCGATTCTTTAGATGATGATAAAACAAACAAAACTGATGATGATATAGGACTTTACAAAATGACAGTTAGAACATGCAAAGAGCCAACTTTAGAATCATTTGATGTTCATATTGAGTTTGAAGCATTACAGTATGCAATGGTTGGAATGTTTATAATAGCTGATTTTCATCAATTGTCAAATGGATGGTGGTATTATGATACTATGACAAATGTTTATCCATCTTATTATGAAATGTGTGAAGACTCTGATGATGATGAATAATCTTCAAATAACAAACTGTCTTTCCTCTCTCACTAATTAATATATTCATCACATATATACACACGCATAGACTATATATAATATACATATATTTATATGTTTGTAAATGTATCTTAGTATCTTTATATTCTTTTCTTTTTTTAACCCGTATAAAGTTGTCGGGAAATAATATTTTCAAGATAATTTTAGGATAATGTGTCTTCAAAGTAAAAGTTAACAACCTAATGATTTTTTATTAGTGTGATAAAAATTTATATATGTAATAATAAAAGTACAGTCTACACCGTCTATAACGGATCTTTTTATAACGGATTTTTCTCTATAACGGATTAAAAGTTTGGCGTATGCGCTGATTTTGTTTGATCCCCAAAATTCAATACGGTATGATCATAACGTTATGAATACTTTATACTAGCAAAAACCGATTGGTTTTGAGGTGGTGCCATTGGTTTGACGGGCTGTTGAATAGTAAATTAGTTTTTTTTAGCGGAGCAAATAAATTTTTTTAGGGAGGGGTGTGAATAACAATTCCCTAAAAAAAATTACTATTACCCCAAAATAAAAAAAAAATAAAAAATGTTTTAAACAATTATTTGAAATAAATGACATAAGATATTGGGTTGGTCGTAACGGTTGATCGTCAAAATTAATAAACATCAATAATTAAATTTCATATTAATATCAAATATCATTATGGTTTACTGGTAAGAGGTTTAACCTTAGGATCGACGTCTCAAATAGTAGGGCTAGCCCTTGTTGTAGATCCTTGGATTGGTAGTGGTTGTGTCCGCCGAATGATATTCACCAATTATTCACCAATTATTCGGTTAATTGGGTATTGAAAATTTTTCATTGATTAATTAATCGGGTGTTGAAAATTTTCGGTGGTACAGAATATAAAAAATAAAAAATTTTATCCACGTAATTAATGTAAATAATATTTTATCACTATTACATTCTTTAATGACAGCCAAACGAACAAAATTGAACCCATTATTATTTGAAAGAATTGTATTTCTTAAAAAAAATATGCAATGTGTGTGTTGAAAATATTTTTCTTGATCTTGATGAATAAAAATTTATTATATTTTTCCTGATGAATAAAAAATTTTTTTTTAAATAAATTTAATATTTAACGGATATTCAGCGGATATTCGGTGAATGACCAATTATCCGGGTGTTGAATTCTATTGACTGACCAATTATCCGGATGTTGAGTTTTATTGATTGACTAATTGCTCAAACACCTGGATAATCAACGGATACAACCACTAACACTAGTTCGAATTTCATTGATTCGTTTGGAGCCTTATCCATGGCTCTGATAATTAGAACCCCCGCGTAACGGTGCTTTATCTCTAACAGAAGGATCCTGGGGTCCCGTTACATTATATATGATGTAATTGTTACAATAAATATAGAATATAATGTTGTTTGTCACGTGACTGACGTAGTAAGTTCGTTTCGAGTGATCAACACTAACCGGGACACTTGGTCGGCCCACGATTTACTATTTTGCAATAATAACAATAATAGCAACAATACCAAAGAATTTAAAAACAATCTAGTGGTCGAGTAAAATTTTTTTCGTATTGAGTTTATATATAATTAAAAAATTAATAGAACTCTTCCCTACTTGAAAAATATCATTGTGGCATATATAAAATAACGCGTGGTTTCCCCTACACGCTTTTTTCATTTATGTTTATAAGATCAATGTAAAGGTGATACCATATCTATAATCTAAAAATATTATTTGTTTCTTGATAGTAATTCACAAAGGAATAATTTTCAACATTGGCTTATGAGGAGTTTTATTCTAGATCCAAGTCAAAAGAGGAACTAGGTGTTCATTCATTAATAAATATATTTAATTTCATTAAGTATCTTTGTTCACTCCGGTACAAATCTATTATATATTTCATTATTATTATAATATTGCTAATATTAATATATTCTTCATCTTTTATATCATTCTCCTTTTCCTTTATTTTTTATTCTTTTATCAATGACTAGTTAATATCTCAATATAAAATCACCAATGAAAATATTAGTAGCATGTATGAACAGAAATATAAATAACATGAACAAATGTGATGTTACTAATAATGGTCAATATTCCGTAAAATAAAATGTTAATATCTGGGTGGTTTTTTACTTGGTTTATTTGAAGGAGAAATTAAATAATCAATTGTCATAATTACCATTTCAATTTTTTTTTTGTCCTCTGAAAGGTTGCAAGAGATCTGAAAAAAGGAACTAGAGATAATTATACCCTATCATTTATGTAATTATCCATTTATACTTATAATAAAAGCTTATCACATTAAAACTATGTACGCATAAAAACAATTCCGTACATTTACCAAAACAATTCTTTACCATTAAAAATATTCTTGTAGCAGCAATGGTATTTATTTTATTTTTTTAAAATATTATTTGCTTTATCTTAAAAATCATAAATTAATAATGCTATTTATTGTAAAGAGGTTTATAAAAGCATCAGAATTATTAAATCCCTGAATTTACTACACAAGAATTAAGGAATTCTTTAGATCATTTAGAAGTTAGTAATTTTTTTATTAATTATTTTATATATATTTTATTTATTTTATTTAAATATATTTTTTTATAGAGTTTTAATGTGTCTTTTATCCAATGAGATTTCCCAAAAGAAAATACAAATGTTTGTAGTCTTTATTAAAGGAATTTTGTAATTTAACTGAAATAGATTGTTCTAATAGAAGAATCATCAATCGTTCTTTAAGGAAAAAGCACTGCACAAAAACTCACAGATGAAGGAATTGATAGTCACTCTATACTCACCATAGATATTTATCAGGTTTGAGTCACTATCGCATAGAAAATGAAAACAAAAATTAGCAATTGCAAAGTTGAATTTACCTAATGTATCAAATGTAAATAAAAAAATAATACTTTTTATCATTCAATTATTATTTGATTAATTTTTACTAAATATGATGTTATTTATTTATAGATTAATAATAACCAAAATACAGATGGAGGAGATGGTATTATTAATAATGAAACATATATATACAATCATAGTAGTGATTCAAACATCTCTAATAATGATGGAGATAGTGGATCATACAATGATGATAATAATTCACCCAGAGAAAAACTGCTACTGTAAATTTATTATTATTATAAATAAAATTTGCAAAGTCTAATATTTATTTTTTATAGGATGAACCACATTCAAGAAAAAGGCCTTTACAAGACATTACTATTGATACTTTCTTTAAAGCAAAACAATGACTATATGATATTGGAATTAAATTAAAATTCATAAAATGTGATAATATTAGAATTAATATAATTTATAGTTTATTGTTATTATTGCTATTGTTACGAATATATTTGTATATATATTATATATGTTTACTAGTTTCGCATAAATAAATGTATTAATTTTTAATAGTATGTATGAATAATTGCATAAATGATGTTACACAGGTGATGATATATAATATCTTAATACAAGAATTTATTTATACTGTTGTGTAACTCAAACAAAAGGAAAATTTTTAATTCAATTTTTTGTTTACACAATATATTGAATCTGCAGAAGATTGTGTAAAATAAATATTACATGTACTGTTAATATAATTTATGGGGTTACCTTATCTATTTATTTTACAGTAAAATTTTTGCTTTTTTTTATGAAACAAGTAGATTATTTGTTTGCCATTAAAATTTTTGACGATTTTTTCGTTATTATCATTCTACACGAGAAAAAAAATCCCCGCAAGAGGACAATGACATAAAAGTGGGGAAAACGTCGTTACATTTTTGCCATTAATTAGTTGGTTAATTCTTATAATATAATACAAGTTTACGAATATTTTTAAAAAAATAACGCAATTCGAAACAAAAATAACGATTAATCATTTTTATCATTCACAATTATTACAATTCTGATTGATTCTGGTTTGTTCTAAGGTTGTTACAAAAGTATGATAACATTTAATACAGTGACACATACATTCTTCTCTATAATGCAATTTTCCAGCTGTAACGAGTTAATGAAAAAGAAATTTGAGTTACTATAACGAGCTTTGTCTTAAACATCATCAAGCTTCTAATAATAAATTTAATATAAATTATTATATTATTGATGTAAACAATTTGTGTAATAAAATTTTCACTTTGTTGAATTTCCATATTTATATTCTCCATCTAGTACTAGTCTCCTCAAATTAAAAACAAATATTTGTACTTTTGATTAATAATTATACTATATGGTATTATTAGTATATGAATTAAATATTTTTCCCTTATTATTAATTTGATTGATAACGTTTGAACTTTATTTATCTTTTTTAAAGAAATATTATGAAACAGATGGTGCAGCATATTTTTTTCATGCAGTCAATATATCTTAATCAGGGTTTTAATTATAACCGCTGCGATTAAAGGGCACTGAAGTTAATATTAATTGTATTACTTCGCCAATAGTACAACTAAACACAAAAAAAATTTGATATGGAAATTTTTTTCCGACACGAATTTATACAATTATTACACTAATATAAGTTTATGGCGGGTCCCATAATATTATGCAATTATTACATTCAGTGCAAATTTTTACGATTACAACATTACATGAAATAAACTTCATGAATTTTTTTTACTCACCTTAATGGTCTTGAGTATAAATATATTTTTGATTTCGTGATGATTTTCTGGTTTGTCTTTGAAATAAAAATCATCTATTGAGACATAAGATATATGTAAGCATATTTTTAATTGATTAAAGCTTTGATTTAAATTCAAGTGACCAATACATGATTTTTTTGAAATTGGTAGTAGCGCTTCGTATAATCATAAACAAAAAAGAAAAGATCTTATATTATGTAAGTTTGCAGATCAAATTTTTTATTTTCCTATGTTTTATTGTAGGGGAGCATATATTTTAAAGAGTTCCTTAAAAATTTTATAACTCCAAAGTGGAAAAATTAAAATTGATTTTTAGGATTCGAGTTAGTAAACATTTAGAAAATAATATGTAAATATTTGTAATCTTGTGTAAAGACGGTTTTTTGTAGATCATTTTTAATATTAATAATGAGACGGATTTTACCTTTTATTCAATTGAGTTAAATTCTTAGCAGACATACACTTGGACAGAATGTTACAGAGTATATATTTTATTTAAATATTTTTTGATATTCTTTCGTACGTAATTGGACCTTCAGTTAATTCACAAATTTTAATTATCTAATTTTACATTTAAATTTCTGAGGGAAAGTGTACGTTAAGGTTTTATTTATCCTGTTGTGTAATTTAAAATTAATAATAAGTGATAAACTGTTTATTTGTATAATATTTAATTACAAACAGTAAATCCGGGAAGATTTTTCAAATTTTTTGCTTAACACAACAACAACAACAACAATAATAAGACCGCATTTTTGTACGAGTCGGAATTTTTCAAAGCTTTTTTGCTAAGTATTAATTGTCACTGAATCTGCCTGCGTAAATAAATACAAATTTATGAGTAAACCTTATTTATTTATTAAAGTTAATATTACGCTGTACACATTAATTAATTTAAGATATTAATTTTTTATAAAAGAAAGAAAATAATTATCGAGACAATTTATTTTTATTATGAGAAAAAAAATCACCACAAGACAATTATGATTATAATAAAAGTGGAGAAACTGTCGTTACATTTTGTAATTCAATATTGTTTAGTTAATTCGCGTCACTTTTAAAAAATAGCGCCCAAACTGAAACGAAAATAGTAATTATTCATATCCTTACAATCCTAATTGATTCTAATTCGTTCCAAACTTGTTACAAAAGTATGATAAATAAATATTTAATTCAGTGATACATTCTTTTCCATATCTTTTCCTGTATGTAATTTTCCTCTTTTTTCGGCTGTATCTAGTTAATGAAAAATAAATCGGGGGAACAAGAAGATTACTATAACGAGCTTTGACTTAATCAATTTCAAGCTTCTTTTTCTAATAATAAATTTTATGTCATTGATGTAAATAGACAGTTTGTGTAAAATTTCTTTTGTGACATTCCATAATTATATTAATAATATTTTTGTACTTCCCTAATTAAACAAATATTTGTATGTGTATTTTTTCTTCTATTATAATAATATGGTATTAGTAGTTGATAAGAAAAAAAAAGATTTTTCCCGTTTGACTCTTAAAAAAATTATTATTAATTATAATTATAGCAGTGTATTTTTTTTTAAACATGCAGCCAATATCAAATATTAATATTAATATTAAGGTTTTAATTAATAATAATAATAATAATAATATAATAATAATAATAATAATGTTGTGCTAAAGGTTTACCAGATCCAGAATTTATTCATTAGTCATTATTGTTTTATAGAATTTTGTTACCGAGGAATATTAAAAATTTTTTGCGTTAACATTTTGCATAATTGTTATTGTTTTTTTTCTTAGTAATGGAGGGTTGATAATGACTGCGTCGATTGCGTCACATACGCACGGTTTATATATTATTATTATTATATTATATATTAACACGTGTTTTTATGATGCTATTTTAATATTTGTTATCAATAAACATTTCTATCTAATTATGGTATAAAAACAAAGAAAGTTCACAACATATTTAGTTAATAATAAATAATAAATAACAACAAAGTCAATTAACGGAAAAATAAATTTGTGTATTTATGTTAAAATTTATATGATAGATGTAATTTATTATATCTCAGGCCAGTATGTTGGGCGTCATAATAATTACTTCATAAAAAAACATTTATATTAATATGGTAATGATGTAGCCCGGATTTCAAAATCTCCAGTATAACTATTACAAATAACATAAAATAAAATAAAAAGAGAGATGAAGAACCGAAAATAGAAATGAAAAAAATAATAAATAATGATAATAAAATAAGGTTGAACCAATTAATGGCAAGATTACTATTATAAGTTTCAGATGGTACAATAGCTGTTGTTGATACATCACAGTAGTCTCTATGACACTGTTCAATCTGTTGGCTAAAAATAATTGTTCAGGGTGGGTTGATTGTATAACACATTGTGCATACCGAGTACCATCCTGATTCAAAAACAGAAAGAAGATGAAAATGATTGTAATGATAATGATGATGAAAATGGAGATGCAAATTTGTTATCTTCTTTGAGACGAATCATTTTTTTGATATTCCTTATCAAGTAGAAACATTAATTCAAAGAATTCAGTTATTTTTGGCTCTGGTTTTTTAAAATTTATCCATTCATGTGTAACAGCTACTGGAATATCTTGCATAATTTTCTTTGGATTTTTATTCTTTTGAGCTTTTCTTAATATATATACGAAATTTAATGAATTTATTTGCCCATCTTTAATGTACAAGTGGGGTTTTAAGCGCATTTTTAATTGATTAAAGTAAGCTTTGATTTTAAAATCAGGTGTCCAGAACATGGCTTTTTTTTGAAAGAACGTAAAAATTACCACATTCATGTGTTTGTATAATACTGTTAATATGTTCCAAATTAATGTATTATTGTGAGTGTTGTAATTAATTTTGACTTTTGATATCATGAAATTAATTTGGATTGCATGTGTGATGCTGAATAACAGAGAAGGTTTTAAAATGCTATCCATTGATTACTTATGTTTGTGATGTGTAACAATCCCAATATCGATCTATTTAAAAGGTATGTTTTGGATTGGTTTATTTTTGACTTTCGTTTATGTCTATTACATGACTGCAAGTAATACAAAATAATTCTGGCCATCAACATAGAAATCATCTTTACAATTGACTTTCGTTTATGGTCTATTACATGATTTAGGTAGTACAAAGTAGTTTCGGCCTAAAGATTTTGTAATGTTTTTTATTATACAACTATGTATGTTTTATCTTTTATTGTAAAAATTTTATAACTCTAGAAGCAGAATAGTTACAGGAAAAATTAAAATCATCATTGCTCCCAGGAATCCTGTCTATAATGTAACAGTGCGAATTTTATTTTTTAGGATTTGTGTAAAGGAGATTTTCTTTAATTGATGCAAGAGATTAATATAAAACTCGTAGAAGCATTGAAACAGACACACATTTGGAAAAAATTGTCTCTTTGAAATCTTTTTTTAGGATAATGCAATGGGATTTTAAATTGATAAATAAATTTTAATTTAAAGCTTAACCAAAAATATAATATAATCGGATCTACAAGCTTATATAATCATCGGAATTTTCACATAAATATTTTAATTACATTTTTCCCAGACACAGCTTATGTAATCTTTCACTAACCCGTTTTCAAGAACTTATTACAAAAACCATCTTTTTTCAATTGATCTCTGTGAATTAATTTAAGGTTTTATTTTATTTATTATGATACGGGGATGTGGGATATTTAAAATCATACCTGATTCCCGATGTTGTAATACGTTATTATTTATTATTATTATTATAATTGCTGTTGCAATTTCTTGACAGTTTCCAATTAATTTAATTATACATCAATATTTGATAATAAGTTAATAAATCAACTGGTAATTTGTCATGCGTATGTGATTTTTAGCTCTGTACGCCAAATTTTTAAAGTGAATAGATCACAACCAACCACATAATATGCAACTACTAGAAAATTTATATGAAAAAGGAAATAAAAAGCAAATAATGATACAGATAATACAGAGTTGAAATGAAGTAAAATAAGAAGAGAAAAAACGAGTTTTGGATTTCCTTGTTTGAGATGATGCTAAAATCTAACACCCCGATGTCGGATGTAAAAAAATATAATTATTCTTAATGGTGAGTCATTGGTTATACATACTTTATCAAGGCATTTAATGAGAGATTTTTTTAGATAAATAGCGTTCAATTTTGACCTTCGAAAATAAATTTCAAACTATTGACAATTATTTCATTGATTTATATTTTCATTTATTTTTTGCATTAACTTATTTTATAAAAAAATCATGGAATCCTTATTAAATCCAAAAGTAATTAATAATAATAATATCGTTACGTCATCAGCAGCAGCAACAACAACAACAACATCGCATCCATCAATATCTGTTCATTCTCTTTATTCAGCTGAAATTTACGATTACAATATATCCAATTCATTGGACCGGGTTAATGATACTCAGTATGCTCAATGTATTACACCTTTAACCCAAAAAGCAGACGTTGAAAATTTATCTCCAGAGGGACAACATATTAACAGCATTACGAATTTGAATATGACGGACATTGGTGATGATGTTACTAATACTAATATCAGTATTCCAAATATTGAGAGCGACAATAATTACACTAATGAATTGACTACATTTATAACAATTGTTCTACAATACCAACGGCCAGATTGTGCTCATTACGAACTATTTGAAGCAAATATTAATATTGATATCGAATGCTATTATTACGGTGAACCTCCTCAAATGGAAGAAAATTACATGGATGACGTCACTATTTCTGATTATTATCAACTCGGAGCTGATCAACAATTTATTTTATTTCGAGATTAAAATTTTTAAAAAAAAAAAAAATTCATATTTATTTTAAATATAATAAATATAATAATTCAAACCACTGTTATAATATAAAAAAAATTTTCTTTGTAATTATTTTTACTACTAATATAGTGATTATAAACAAACGAACATTAAATTTCTTAAAAATTATTTTGGCTGTTAATAATATAAATACATTAAATAATTTAACCAACAATAAATTCCACAAGTGTATCTATCATTCAAATGCCCAACCTTCGAACCCACTCACTCCATCTAGTCGTTAACATATTGGCACAAAGTGACTTTTTGAATTGATTTCTTTCATTATATAATTATGTAAATAAAAGCACGTGATACATTTATCCTGAGAATTGCTATTTCTCGGTGATTGTCACCACCTAAGGAATTAAATTTGTGTGGGGCGGAGTTAGCGTTGGGGTTAATCATAAATTGTATAATTCCTTAGGCGGTGACAATCACCACCGGTGAGAAATAGCAATTCCCAAATAATTTAGATACAATAATTATAAAAATGTTATTATATAATATTCATTTAAAGAAGTCCTCAACGAAAATTAGAAAAAGATGAACCAATTTCTCCAAGTGTACCATGAATATGCGCCTCCAAAAGGATTTATTATTATATGAAAAGAGATGCGCAGAAGTTGATTACAAAAAAGACTTGTTCTTGTTATCACTTGGCCCCATTCCAACTAAAAATTAATAAGAATAAATCTAAAGGCCTAAATATTGGATAAGTGAACAAACAAAACAAAACTTCTTACCACAACTAGCAACCAGAATGGTTGTTGATAGACATAAAGCAAAAATTTTTGAGTCTTGCGTTAAACTTGAAGTAATTTTTAAAAATGGACATTTTGATGACGAATCTTTTTTTTCTTTTTCTTTTTCTTTTTCTTTTTCTTTTTCTTGATCACCAATTCTTTGTTTTCTTTTTGATTCAGCTGTTTCGATAGCCTCCTTATTATTGTAATCATTTTTATAGCTATGACAGCGTAAACAAGTTACAATTTCACCGGCAGTTGGCCTTTTCTTTGGATCAGGATCACAGCATCGTTTCATCAAATCGGCATAAAATCTTGGTGTATCGCTGGTAACATCTGGCCTCTTTCCTTTCAAGATTTCCATTGTAAGACCAAAATTATGTGATCTATCATCAAATGGCTCTTTGCCGGAAGTATATACCCACATTATCATCCCAAAGCTATATACATCGGATTTTTTTGTATATGGTTTGCCAGATAATACTTCAGGTGCCAAATACGGCATAACACCATAAACTTTATTATTGGGGTTCTTTTCTTCGACTGGCTCGCATAATCCTAAATCCGCTATTGTACTTTTTTCGTCCTTTTCTATCAAAATATTGCGGCTATGCAAGTCATGATGCACAAAGTTTTTAGAATGAATTTTATTTAGCCTGACGAAAAATAAAGACTATTTATTAGTAGTTTATCACAAAAAAATTTACAAAAAATTTACAAAATCACAAAAAAATCAAAAAATCAATTTACCCAATCGCAATATTCAAAAGTGATTCTAATTTGTCTTTCCAGGAAAAATTCTTAAAATTCTTTGACAAATAATTATGTAAGTCTCCTCCTTGTGCATGTTTAAGTACTATCTTATAAGTATTTTTCTTTTCATCTTTTGTAACCCCATAACATTCGTTAATAAAGTGGTTGTGAGTGCTGTAAATTTTTTTATGTGCTTCTAGCTAATAATTTTAACAGTTTAATCAATAATTTAATATTTGGCAATTATTTACTCAGTAAATTCAAGGAATTTATTTACCTCTTTTAATATTATTGGAATGACATTCTGTGAAATGTAAATGCTTTTTAAAACAACTTTTTTACAAGTAGAATTATGCCGCCAATCGGCAGTATGTATGATTCCAAATCCTCCTTTAGCTAATGGTGTAAGATTATGGAATTGATTATGTGGAATCCACTTAATCTTGCTCCCATCCTTTTTACAATCATAAAGAAATTTTGCCAATTCTTCATCTTTGCATTCCTTCGTTAAATTTTTAATCATTGTTTCTTTACGGATGCTGCTGTCTTCTCCTATTTTGATTTTTTTTGATTTGTAAATTAGCATTTTTCATTGTTAAGATTTAATAAATGAATCAAAGATAGAATTTTTCCTTAATGAGCAAAACATTTTCATTTATACTTTGAAAATATTCCTTGATTAAAAACGCGATAATGTTACGCTTTTGTTTATTTATTTTTTGCTATTAAAGAAAAAAACCAAGTAACTAAATTTGGAATAAGTTTTGTCATCATTCGATTTTTATTTTTTCCGAAAAAAATTCCATAAAATAATAATAATTAATAATAAATAAATCGAAAAAATACAATCATAATATAATGCACAAAAATATTTTGTTATTATACAAAAAGTGTTAACGTTCGCAATAATTTATTATATTATTTACTATTACTTATTAAGAATATTAGGTCAAATGAAATATCTAACATCATATAAGCCTAGAAATATAATGCACAAAAATATTTTTGTTATTTACTTATTCAAAAGGTGTCAACGTTCGCAATAATTTATTATATTATTTATTCTCTCCATAATGAATATATAATTTTTGTATTTCTGTTTGCTATAGAGAGATATTAGATTTAATTATAGAAAGAGAATTTGCGACAAAAGAGAAGTTATATTAATATTAATATTAATATTGTATTTTACCTGTTTTACTTATATTATAGGGAATGTTAACTGTATACGAAATAGGTTTGTACTTGAGGAATAAAAAGATAGTGATATCGCGCATGCATTTTCACGTTAATATTATAATAGATTGAATGGTTCAGTTGGCTATTTACCATTTATTTATTCAACGAATAAATAATACCCAAATGTTATATTAAATTTTGTGTGAGCGGCATATGTGTACTAACCAAATTTGATAAAATATACCGATAATTACCAAATTTGATTAATACATTCCACCCACGCATCATTGTTATTGTATTAGTACGTATAATAGATGATCACATAGCTAAGTCATTACCAAATTAGGATTTTAACCCGGCCCTGTACTCGTACACTTCCAGGGCACAATTTTGAGTGACCTCTATACTAATACGGGGATGGTGAAAATTTCAACGTAATATATACTAATTTTGGGGACGAAAACATCCATATTTAGAATGACCTACTATTCCCGTAGTTAAAACTAAACAAATTAATTATTGATAATTCTGTCGGAATTTAAGATAAACTTTAGTAGCTTCAATAACTTCTGCGACTTGGCCAAAAATTCCAAGTTCCTTTGGAGTTTTATTCTAAAAAAAATTAAAAAATTACAACAAGGAGTTTATATATTGTTTATTTATATATAATATAACTCGCACATGCACAAAAGGAGCTTTTTATTATTGAAAATTTTTCTACATGGAACATACGATATTTATATGAAACTTATCTGCCTCCTTTTAAATTTAATTAAAAATAGCACACAGTCATATTAATATACAAGAAATTTATGTTACACAAAAACTAATCTCGTTATACACAAGTAAATCATGAGTTTATAAACAAGGTCATCCGACCTTACCAAAGGATTTAGTATCAAAACATGTTCAAAGTACTTGATAATATAATAAATAAATAACCGTAATAGATAAAAAATCATCTTTTTTTATATTGTTAAAAGCTAACACTAAAGATTATATTAGTATTATATTTTTTTACAAATATTCAAATTATAAGTTATATATTATTAATGCCTTTCTTCTATTTTCAATTTTCAAGCAACATTTCAGTTCAGTCATACGATTTTTCATTTTTAAAAAATCATACGTTACCTTCTCCAAAATGCAGTACTTATATTGTAATGATCGACAATCTAGAAGGGCGATGAATTTCTGCGGCGAGAATCTGCTTATTTTTTGTTTAATCAGAATTAATTAAAAAAAAATAAACAAGTAATTATCACTACAAGGAAAATAATAGAACTGAAGGGAAAAAATTTAATTGGATGGGATTAGCAATGTGCATATACTATTACTATCAGTTATTATTATTATTTGTTATTTATCATTTTATTCGAATAGAAACCCTAACCTATTACTATTTCCATAGGACCAACAGATTCGAAATACATGTAAAAACGAAATATGACAGTATAATAAGTTAAATAAAAAATGCGCGAATTCAAATTCTTTAGCCTAGTGGTTTACAATATAGATTATGCTACGCTTGCAATATGCGTGACAGGTCTGCTTACAAAAATAGAAAGATTCAGCAATTAGCCAATTTTAGATATAATTCTTCGCATTCTGCAGTTTTCTGCTTGACAGTTAGTTAAATGATGTGTAGGAATATAATGAAACTAATGGTGATGGTTTCTATCACGAAATATTGGATTTATGATTCTTGATTCTTTTCCAATTGGTTTTGATGGCAAATCTTCCATATTACTTTAATATTTTCAAGTGCTGAAAATTGTTTATTGACGGTTATATTTTTGCAGTGTGACTGACACTTTTTAAATTCTCAAGTACTTCAAATGTATTATCTAAACCAATATGTGCGAAAATGATAATAACAAAATGAGATGTATAATACAAAGAAATGAGAATTAAACTTTACTTACTCTCAAATTCCACAAAATTTTCAAGTTTATAATATAATGTTTATCCCAATTGATTGGTAATTGGAAAGTTCCAATAAGAAACATTCAATATACTTTAGAAGCAAGTAAATCCATGCCCTATACTTGAACATCTAAACCTATAGACAAACAAGATATTTATTTAATAAGTGCAAAAATCAAAAAAACACAAACTGAAAATTTTAACTTACCATGACAGTGTAGAAACCAATAATCATGTATTTTTCTGAAAAAATATCCACAAATTCATCACCCATAATATTATCCGGAGAACTTGCAGATGCGTTTATTTTTTATTTTTTATTTTTGTTTCCAGAAACTTTATGAAATATTAATAACATCATTAACACTAATATTAACATTGGATATTTGCAATTTGCTATCCATGAAAATATTATAATACCGATTCTCCAATAAAAAATTTTTTTTATAACGGTTTATTTTTTGTATATATTTCCTCATCCGTAAATTATGATAAATGCAACAATTTATTTATAATTTTTGACATATTCTGTTATATTATTATGTGTGGCTATTTTTTTTTTAATTGTTCTGTTTTTTTTAATAATATTTATTGATTGAATTATACTTAAATTAATTAGTGAAAACAAATCTACGAATTTTTTTTAAGTATTTTTTTAACAAAGAATTCAGAATTTTCGGAATTTCGTTTTTATTGGTTTGTATAGACAAAATTTGACTAATTATTTTAGTCTGTTTTTTTAAAACACAAGTCAAGCTTAATATTTGAATTTAATTGAATTATTCATTTTATTCGTTTTTATTCAAATAAAAAAAATTAATTTGAAAAATGCTTTTAATATGGAGTGTATGTCACGATGAATTCAAGCAATGATCATGACAGAGGATGGCCTGGTTGAGCACTAACAGCTTAGTGCGAAATATAAGGTTTGGCCAATTTGAAATACTATTCATCCTTTTATAATAATTTTTGAAAAAATTTTTAATATTAAGCGAAAAAGTGCATGGAAACTTCAGTAAGGGTTTGTATATGTACTAATACTCATATTAGGCTCAATGGACAATCATCGACTGCTTCTTCTCTTGGATAATTCCTTCATTAAGGAATTAGAACGCATGGTTTTTTCTTAATTATAATGATTATAATGATTATAGTAATTATATTTTTTTGCAGATAATATTATGGGTGATGAATTTGTGGATATTTTTGTGGATGATTTTTTGCAGATGGTTTTTGTGGAAAAATACATGATTATGGTGTAGTTCTATATATCATTAAGAAAAAATACCAAAATAACAGTTAAGAGATTTTAATATTATTAATTACATTGCTAAATTCTGCAGTTGGTAGACATTCAGTATTGTACACTTGCATTCCTGTACTGTATGATCTGCAAATTGGTATTTTTGTATTAATTTTTTAAGTACAGAATTTATGCATGTGTTGTGTAATCAAAAGTTGATTGGTGGGTGTTGTGTTCAATTTTGTAGAAATGTGAAAGTGCACAGTACTGAACAGTGTTAAAAATTCAGTGCGGGGAATGCGGGTGTATCATTATCATTACACACCAATCAAATTTTAATTTTTGGATATAGTTTCTAAATTTGTACTAGTTACACAACGAAATTTCAACACTGGTACAGAATGTCTATATTCTCTAAATTTTGATACTGAAATTCTGGTAATACAAATGTTCACTTTGTCAGGAAGGTATATAGCACAACAATTTTTAATGATAATATCCAACACATTTCTAAGTACAAGCCCAATATAATTTTATAATAGCAAAAATGAAGCGAATTCTTTGAGTTTTATTATGAAACTAGAGTAACGAAATGTTTTTGTAGGCGGGAAATTATTTTCAAATCATTGTTAATTTTGTCACATTTGGCGAAATGGTAAAATGTGGTAGTAAATTGACGAAATGTGACGAAAAGAAGAAAATGCGACAAAAAGGAGATATTATAAACAATTCTAAAAAAAATTTTTTAACAAATTTTTTCTTTTAAATTTAATATTCTTCATTAAAATGTCACACGATCGTCAAAGCTAATCAAGATGAATCAATTTACGAATTTTTTGATAGTAACTATGATACAGAGATTTAGTAAAAGACATCTTTGTTGAAGATGAATTTGAAAGTGAATATAATTCAAAAAATAGTTATTTTCATGATTATTGTGAAGTTAATGAAACTGATAAAAATATTATTAAGGACAAGAATGTTATGATATTGACATTAATAATAGTAATGAAATTGATGACAATTCTGAAAATAATACAATGAAGATGATGATAATAATTCTCAAAAATTAATTAGAAAAAAATACAAACCAGAAAGAAGAAACATAATTTACGTGGCTTATCCAAATTTGACTTAGACAAAAGATTAAAAAATTAAAATTTCTCTTAAAATAATATTTTAAATGTAAAATGTAAACAAATTTAAATAAAAATTATTATTGCAGATTATTACAAAAATTTACTTTGTGAAAATGGTTATATATTTCTCTCTCTCTATTTTTTTTTTTTTCGTCAAATTTTTCTTTTCGTCAACTTTACTCTCTTTTTCCCTTTCGTCAATATGCTCTTTGCGGTAAATTACATGTAACATTTCAGTTGACTAAATGTCGATCATTTCGTCAGGTATCATTAAACTAGAGGCATGCACCTTTTCCTTCTTAAAAGGATCACGAATTAAAATAATGATTTTTAGCAAACTGCATTAATTTATCTAATTATTCTGAATTTTATCACAATATCATAAAACTTTTGGCTATTTTTCATTCAATTCCTTTTTTAAGTAATTGAAACACATTATTTAATGAGACATTAAATATGTTTATGATGATTGGATTGATTAGTGGCGTGCTAGAGTTTCAGAATATTAACAAAATAAAAATGATAAATAAATAAATAAATAAATAAATAAATAAATAAATAAATAAATAAATAAATAAATAAATAAATATAAATAAATAAATAAATATAGTTCAGTCATTTATTTATATTACCGTGTACTTTTTGGGTAATTGATTCTTGCGGCAGACTTATTGAGTTTACACATGTATTTAATATTATTAATATTAATATTAAGAAAATTTTCCGAAAAGTTTCAAAATTTCAAACCGGTTTTTTAAGCCTTTTTACTAAAAGAAGCGACAGTAACCCATTTTATATATTAATATTGGTATACACCTGTAAACGGTCATTTATTTTGTATTATCAAAGTACTTTAAACAATTGATTGCTGCGTCCGACTTATCGAGTTTACATGTGTAATGAATGAATGAATTTGCGCTCAAGCCATTTAAATCACACCTACTTTTATAAAACTTGAGCATGGATAAATAAAAGAGAAAATTTATCTTCTGGAGAGAATAGTTCACCCACCTGAAACTATGTTAATGGTCCTTGAAAGTTTATTTACTTGTTTATTATTAAAAAACTCTTGTTGTAGCGAACAAAATTTTTGGAACCAATGGGTATGTTTATGTTTTATTAATAAATTTATTTACATGTTGAAAAAGGTTAATCATTATCATATTATCATTTATTTCAAAAAGGGTAAATTTTTATTGAATTTCAAATTTTAAAATTTTTCACGCGCTGATAAGAAAAATAATGTAAATAAATAATGTAATGATACATATATGTAATGTAATGTTAATTATTAATATAAATAAAAATAAATAAACAATTCTCCGAAAACAATGTACAATAAATCAACTTTAATTCACAAACACATTTGTATTACCTAAAATGAAATGTATTTTAATTAGTCAATATTTATATTTATAGTGTCTATGTGTATAATAAAATTATTGTCCTTCAGAGAATCAAAATAATATCGTACTAATCACCATACTAGTGATTTGTACTATCTAAATAATATGTTTATTGGTTAAGTATAATATTGTTATCTTTTTCATCATAGCTAAACATTTTAACAAGTTCTTCAAACATTTCTGTAATTTCTAAATCGTATTGCCAGAGTATATATGTTTTATTAAGAGAGCTTGGGATAATACTATTTAATGCTCTACTAGTATGAAATGCTTCTGGATGCATCCAATGTGTTGACGATGAACTTTGATCTTCATACGTAACATTAGCAGCTGGGTCATCATAAACTCTTTTCATTTCCTGTTTGCCATACTTAATCAGATCAGCTATGGTGGGACGCTTAGATGGGTCTTCATCCCAACATTTTTGCATCATTTTTCCATATTCAACTGGCATATTTGGTAGAATTGGTGGCCTAACACCGTCACATATGTCCTGAATCAAATCCATGTCATGTGCCCTGTTATCAAATGGTGGATACCCAGAAAATATTTCCCACATCAACATTCCAACACTGTAAATATCCGAAGCCTTTGTGTTCTTTTGTCTTTTAAATAATTCGGGTGCAATATATGGTACTACGCCATATATCTCATCTGATGACTTACCGCTAATATGTCCACACAGTCCAAGGTCTGTTATATAACAAGCTCCTGATTGTTCCATAAATATATTGCCGCTATGCAAATCACAATGGATGAAATCTTTATCATGAACATCATCAAGAGAATCAAGGATGTTATAAAAAATTCTTATTTTATCTCTTAGATTTAATTTGTGCTTGTTGTTCTTCAAGTACGATCTTAAATTTCCTGAATGCAAATAATTTATCACCATGGCGTAGTTACCTGTTCTCGGATTTTTGGTTATGCCGTAGCATTCAGCCATCATCTCGGATTGTATTTTACTGTAACTCAATACCTAAAAAATGTGTGATTTGTGTATATGTTAATACATATACATGTATAATGAATATAATATAAATTATACAATATTTACTAACCTCTTCAAAAAATTTTTCTCCGAATTTATTGGAACCATCTAAACATTTTATGACTACCTTCTGTGGTCCAAAGTAAACAACCTCGCCGTTTTTATTATCCCAATCACTGATACATCCACGATTCCATGTGGCAGTATAAATTGAGCTGAAGCCACCTCTTGTTAAATATTCAACATCTTCAAAGGCATTATATGGGATCCATTCCAGAATGTTCCTAGGTAGTGAAGACATTAATTGACATCGTTGCACAAAATCATTAATTATTCTACTCCCAGAGGTCCAACTACCAAACGAATTCTGTAAATAATTTCTGATGCACATTTCGCAATATCTGTCAGAGTATCGTGTCTTTCCGCAATCCTTGCACTCAAACGGCTTACCGCATTTATAAAGGGCATTATTCAGTTCATAGTTGTATAAAAATTTTTCTTTGCAATACTCTTTTTCTTCTTCGGTAAGTTCTTGATGTTTTGATATTAAAGTTATGAACTCGCCCTTTCTCACTTCTCTGTTTAATGCTACTGCAAATGCATAGTCATTTAATAGATTATATTGAGCGATTACGAATTTCTTTCTTTCGTATGAGTCTGCCATTTTTTTACGTTATTTCAAAAAAAATAAAAAAAAATTAAAAAAATACATCAATGGATGTTTTTTTATATATTCGCGCCATTTTTTTTTTGTGACATAAACAATATGTTATTAAATCATTTTTTTCTTTAAAGAAATTTCAATAACTTATCAATTCAGTACTAATAATAGAACCATACGATTTCGCAAGTTAAAAAACAATTTTTTGTATGCATGATTAGTGGTATTGACAGGAGGGATGTGTTATTGTTATTGTTGTTCTGCCTGTATGTTGATTCTACCTTTACATTCTTAAATTGGTGATCAGCGACGCATGACAAAAAGTTGCGCTATGCTTTTGTTCCACCACATAAATTTTTTTAGCGTGCAGATATAATTTTTCGTTTTGCATTTACTCAAGTACAATAATGTTTTGTCGCCAAAACTATTTTGAAAAGGAGAAAGTCAAGACTAAAATTAAAAGTTATATATATGTCAAAACTAAATCAAAAGTCAAAAGTCAATAGTCAAAACTAGTTTTGACTTACGGCGAAACCTTTTGACATTCGTACAGTTGCGAAACTTTCTAGTTTTGGAAACCAATATTAACTTACAATAACAAGAATTCTTTTTTTCTATATATAATAAATATTCTTAGAGATAAAGGGTTCAATGAGTTTCTCTATTATAAAAATTATGGATTATCCAATTAAATTTATTATTAAAAATGTTATTCGTGTGAAATTAATATACATCTTGTTTTTTGTGATGCTGCTGATTAAATCCAAATATCCACAATTTGTTGGAGAAAAGGAGTATCATTATTTTCAGCGCATTTTTATAATTTATTACATTTTTCTATATTACCAGCCAAGAACATTTCCTTCAATTTTTCAACTACGTTTAAATCAAGCCTTTTGTCTCCACCTTTTTTCCCAAACATTGTAAAGCAAATCTTCCAGTCAGTAGAGTTTTCGTACAATTTTCAATTCCGGAAACTATTTTTTTTTTGTTCTGTGCACTTTTTATTTTTAATTTTTGTACGAAATTTGTGAATTCTGAAAAGTTGATTGGCGGGGGTCAGTCTGTAAGATCATCGATTCCATATTCTGTTCCATACGGAACATGATTTACTACAGAGGCGCAGATGTACGGAATACGGAACCTGTATAGACTCCAAATCCTCGTGGTTTCAAGCTTTCATATAATAATCTTTTCAAGTCATTATCATCTCATCTAATAATAATGTAATATTTATTGGTTCAAAAAATTCTTTTAGTTGGGATCTTACTACAGGTGTTGTTAATACTGACCATAAACGTAAATGTATTTTTAAATTATCTACAAGTCTACACATGATTAAGGATGCTATTTTTTCATACTAAAGTATTAATTGTTTATTAATCTATTATTCATCAGAGTATACATGTGATATGTGATACATAATGGCGAACGCCAATAATTCAGCAAGTTATACAATAAAACAACAACAACAACGACAATAAAATAATAATTGACAAATGATTAATAATAGCAATTAATATGTAATAATGTATATTGATTATTTATTATCGTGTGACAGGAATTTGTAAGTAGTGAGTGATGTTAGTTTGCTAAGTAATTTATCGGTTTAGCCGCCAAAGAATTTTTGAACGGCTTAGTCGGCTAAAAAAAACTCCTTTTAACATTCATTTTTACTTCCGGAATTTTAGTGCAAAATTCAGTGGAATAGACATTTAGTTGAGATGGATCCATCTGCAGTACTTAGAATGACAAAAAAACATACATTTGCTCAAAAACAAAATATAATACATCATGGCAAGATAAAAGTCGTATTCAGAGTTTCTATTTGTAATACGAATCCTTGTTTTAATTGGAATACTTATTATTCGTTCTATTCGAATTATTCATTCTATTCTTATTATTTGTTCCAAATTATTCGTTCCTTTCGAATTATTTGTTCTATTCGAATTATTTGTTCTATTATTATTATTATTATTCATTTCATTCGAATTACTTGTTCTATTCGAATTATTCGTTCCATTCTTATTATTCATTTTATTCGAATAAACCTCAATGTAATCAAATGCTCAAATTCATGACGAATAAAACAAATAATTCGAATAAGCCTTAATCAGACCATTAAAGGCGAGATATTCTAATAACAATAGCAATAATAATTATAGTAATAATAATACTGGCAAGCTTAATACCACCTGTTTTCATCAACCGGGATTTATTAAGTTCTTAGCCGGCTAAGGTTTTTCTACAGGCTAATATAACTATAAGATTTTTGATTTGTCCGATACTAAACTTCTTTCGTATTTTTACAATAAATGGATTGAAATTCCAACAAACGGATCAATTGACTTTTTTATGAAATAAAAGTGGGTAAAAAACTGAGCACTATATAATTTAAAAAGATTATATAAATTCATTATCTTATAATTCATCATTTCCCAAAGCATTTATGACCTTTATTAGGTCACATTTTAGACAAGGACAATAGTAATAATGACGATAATGAAAATGATAAAATAAAAACCATGAAATATAGAAGCTTTGCCGATATTGTGTTTAAGGATATCAAGTCAATTAACAAGGTTGAAAATAATCTAAAAATAATGACATCAAAAAGCAAATGTTTTTTGATGGCTTTAATGCAGATTGAATATTATATCTAAGAAGAAATTATTGAACATTTAAGACAAAAGTATTTTTTTTAAAAAAAAAATCATTGTTGTAGAAATGAAGATAAAAGAGCGTGAAAGATCCACATTCATGTTATTAAGGGTTCCATATTTGGCCCAACTTTCTATTTTCCTCCGAATATTGTGATTTCTTGCATGGAATTGCCAGAACAATTGAAACGCCATTCTTTAATATTTTGTCTAGGGCAGGAGAATCCAAACATAAGCAAGTCCATTTATTTATAGATTAATTATCGATAATTGATATAGATATAATATTTTATATAAGGTTAATAGATATAGGGATGTTAATGGTCCGATCTTAGGTATCAAAAACCGTTTGGACCGTTGTGAAGATGGTGAAATGTAACGGATTTTTTATTATTATTATGAATGGATTAAATCGGAAAAGTTTAAAATAACAAGTATACAAAAATGTCAAAGTATACTTGATAGCTTTATGAGGAAATTATTTGTAAGATAAACTAGAAAAATATAAATAACAAAAGGAAATTAATAAATATGTCTTTAATTAGAAATTATTATAGTTATTGAAACGTTCTTTAGAAAAGAGATCTTTCTCCTTAAAATATTTCCTATTACTATAAAAAATCATTGAAAGAAAATGTACGGGTGAACCGTATTGTTTTTACGGAATAGGTACGAAAACAATGCGGTTCTCCCATATGTTATTTTTTTATAGGGATGTATTAAGTAATTTCATAAATTTAAACTTTTGAGTTGATTCTTTCTGAGACTTTTAAGCTGATTATGCGATTCTTGAGATGGAATTCTAATCCACACACATTCATTATCATTATCATTATCATTATTATTATTATACTAACTGTGTTGTATTTAATCTGTTATAGAGAGTGATAAAAAGCCGGGTTTTCCGTGAAAAAAAGGCACAGATGGTTAGTTACTTGGGAAATGTTAATTATTATAAATTAAAATTATATTTATTATTTTATTAACTGGCAGCGCATCATGGAATTTGTAAGGTTACTTTACTGGGTAATGCGTAATGGTTACGTAGTCGTACTACTAGGGTAGACAACATCGATAAACAGTCCTCTAATTAGAAAAATTTTAATATATAAACAACGCGAATTCAATTTTTTTGAAATAACTTTATAAGTGATCAAATCATTCGCTAGTAAACATCCCACTCATTTTTATCCTCAAAACCTATTATTTTTCTTGCCATCGATTAAATTCGCCCTCCCAAAAATTAATCGGTGACAATATTCATAAGATTTTTTTTTTTGTGTGGTTCTAAACTGCAGGACATCTATAACGGTCAATGATTATCGCATGGCTTTAAAAGCTTATAACTCCTTATTAAAAAAGAAAAAACCGATAGAATTAAAACTAAAGGCCTAGGCCTCATTTCCATCGGCTTACTTTTTTCATTTTATTTGAAAAGTTGAGTTATAAGGCTTCAAAGTTATATATGTCTGTCAATATGTAAATTGTAAAATTTTGGAATGATCTTCTTCCCTTGTGATTTCCTAAAAGGCCGATGACCCAGCTTAAAAATTCTCCGTGATACAGAAAATATTTCCATTAAAAGAAATATGATTACTTATTTAGAGAGATTTTCTAAAAAATTTTAAATTTCGGATTTTATACATGACGAACCATAACACTGAAGTCCTTGACGAAAATTATATTCCAATTTTTAAAAAACCAAAGACACTGATTTGATGAAACAATACTATATATAACATCTTTAAGTGATTCCTCCATAAATGCGCATCCTCAAAAAGGATTTATTATTATATTAGTATGAAAAGAGATGAGGTCCAAAAAAGTCTAAAGTAAATTCCGCGCCACAATGACACATAAAATTCGAAACCATAATTAAAAATTATCTTGTGTTAATAACTAACACATTAACAAATTTATAAAATCCCATTCAAGTTTTTAAAAAATATTTAATTTTTTAGTGATAGGAAAATTTTTTTGTCAAGCTTGAAACTAGTTCAAATTTTCACAAAATATGCAGCGGTAAATTAATTTCATGAAACATTACATAAAACGTAAACACAAATTTTAAGATATTCAAACGCAATTTTCTCAACAAAATTATTCATATTATATATTTAAAAATTCAATATATTGTCGGGTTTCCTTACTTTTTAAAACAACCCAACTTCTCGTCTGTTGATTTATTAATTCTTTCTAGATTTAATAAATTATGGAATTCGGTTTTATTGCTTGCTTTTAAATTTTGTAGTCTTCCTTTTTAATCTTGGAAAATTTTTCAATTCTCGACTTTGGACGGACCATGGAAGGACAAAATATTATTTTCTTCTTTCGTACATTTTG